TAGTTACAGAAGGGCGATCCTCGTTAAATAGGGGAGTAGCATAAAGAAAAATTGGTGCGTCGACCATGACAAGTTGAAAAGATCCTAACGATATTCGTGCGACTTAAAAGGTGGGATCGTAGTATTCGTTTGAGTAGGTATGACCAACTTCGTTACGAACAGATTTGTTCCGTTCGAAAAATAATTAATTAACGATCGAGTTGGATAGCCAAAGCATCGATCCCGAAAGATCGCTGCTACGTTAGGTTATTCGCGATTGGGTTAATCGGCGATAGGTATCCGCGGGAAATAATGGTTAACGAGCTCGCGTGGAACCTCGTTAACTTTTGTACGCGGTTGGACCGGATTCAATCGGTCGAAAGGTATTTCCAAAGCACGAATACACTGTTGGATACGCGGTCCATTACCGATCGCCACATATGCAGCGCGCGTTAGGCGTGCCTTGTTTCTCTCGAAGAAACGATCGACGCGACGGACGGAGAAAGGAGGAAAGATAAGAGAAACTAAGATGAAAAGAAGTGCAAAGTGCATAATGTGCGCGGGCGAGCGCGACGGAAACAGCCGGTTGGTTTTTACCTACCCTTTGGTGCGCTGCCCGGAGACCGGGAGAGTGTTGCGCAATTAATTAGCATGTGCTCACCGCGTTGACTGGTTGCAACCCTAACAGCATATAAATCGATGCCGCGCGTTCGCTATTCTATCGAAATAGTCGAAATAATTCGATCGAAGAAACTTCGTTTGTCGAACGACATTGCCTCTCCTAGTTTCTTCCTAAGCTTTAAGCGGAAAAAACTGTCGTTCGAGCTCGATAAATTTAAACGCGGATCGTGACACGATCAGAAAGTACGAAATTAGCATAAGAAACTAATTATTATATAAAACGGCATTAACGCGAAATGGACCTCGAACAGAAGCGGATTTTGTTGCGGAACGAATCATGTTTTTGTATCTTTCTTTTTCTGTAATTATGTCCGAAACGTAATAAATTCCGTCAATGGAACGAGAAATGCCGCTCCGTCAATAAGCATCGCCAGAAGTACGAACGCGAAGAAGAGACGTTACAATTTTTCAGTAGCGAAGGTTCAGGAAATGAACTTTAGTTTTCGTTCAACAATTAAAAAGGAGTTTTTTCTAACTAGTAATTAACGGATTGACGTCCTTTGGATCGAAAAGAAAAATACTAATCTACGATCTAACTTGGAACGTAGCGTTCAGACATTAAATAGAAGTAAATATTCGCAGGAACGTTAATCGAGGAAAGCGGTGGAGAAAAGAGCAGCGTAAGGAACGAGTTGGTGATTCACGCGACGAAGCGAATCGTCCCGCGTTGCAGAGAAATCAGGCAACGCGGACAATGAAGTCGCGGACTATGGTCGTTCGGTTCATAGACAGAAAGGCGAGTACGAGCTCGCGACCAAGCAACCGGCAGAACACGGAAATGATGGGCAGAACATTCGAGCTGGACGGTGGTAGCCCACACTATCTCGCTTCGCTTATTGCGTAAGATACTTTCGAGTCTACTTGCCGAAGCGAGTTGCAACGCCAGCGGAGGCGAACGTTCGTCCGTCCTTAATGTTTTCTTTTTCTTTCTTCCTTCCTTCCTTCCTTCCTTCCTTTCTTCCTCGCTCCTGTGCCGATCAACTCTGCATACCGTTTCGTTTCGCGCCCGTACATCGGTAAAACGTGATCGCGAGTTTTTTTTTTTATCGAAAAGCGTTACTTTTTATACGATCGGAACTTTGGAAGCTTAGAGTAGTTACAGGTGAAGTACGCGCGTCGTACAGTATCTTAGGTTTCTTTCATAGAACGGGAAAGCGTGCTGGTTACGGCCAGAAATATGTACGATTTTCAATGAAAGAACGATAGAAAGTGACCTGGCGGTTGCGTAACGGCAATTATGCACTTTTGGCGATTCTTGTTGCGGCTAGTCAATGCGATTCTGGTTATTTTGCGACCGATTGATCGAACGATATATCGTCACGCATCGAATGACCAAGCGTAACGCAACCGCGTGTCGCATGACCACGTGTTTACGATTAACATTTCTATTGGCACGCGTCTCAGGAATTCAATTCCTAATAGCAGAAATTTCATGTACCTTAAATTCGAAATATCGAAAAATGTCGAGATAATTAATGCGAAATATCGCATTTCAAAGTCGAAGATATTTTTACTTCGGTAAAATACATTGTTCCTTTCTCGCTGCTAATTTGTGGGTAACCAAAGTTGTGGAACAACCCAATTTCGAATTTCCGGTGCAATCTTGGATCGATCAAAGGCCGACCAACTTGGAATCGCGGTTAACCGTTCCAATCTATCGCAGCCGTGCACGAATTACATAAAAGGGTGAAACTTGTTGCTAATAAATCTTCCATAGCACTCGACGCGTAAATTTGTAGAACAGGTTGAATTTGCATTACCGAACCATCGTTAATATTCGCGTCTATCGAATAAAGAGGCAATTAATTCGAGTCCGTCGTCTAAGACTTTCTTTTCGATCGAAATCCTTTCGATTGCCGAAGATTGGAACTCTATGAATTCCCTGGCAACTCGCACGAGTTCAGGGGATGTTCCTGATAGAACTTCATCGAGCGTAAAAGTATCATCGTTTGTTTTTCGGCAAAGCGTTCCGCGTTTGCGAATCTCCTCGAAGCGATAAGGATCACCTACCGAAACCTGCAATTTGCACGAGGAATTCATGGTTTCGGATCATCCGAATAATTCGAACATCGAGAAACACGCGGCAGCACGCGCGATCGAATGGCAATCTTGTTGTTCCAGCGATTTTTCTTCGTCTCGTCCCGGAACGAGCGCGCTTTTCTCACGGATAGCTCGGTTCGCGACGAAAATTTCACCGGTTTCACATCCTAGTGTTACATAAAAATCCGTGAGGACGCGCATCTTGGTTGACGAGCTACCGTTACTGTCAGCGCGTCGTATTTTTATCGCAGTTTCTCTTCGCGACCCAACCTCTAATTCCGTTTCGGGTAATCATCGTTCGAATCCTCCGATGATACGCTCGTTCCTTCTGACGAACAATCGCTAATTCGGAAACACGAAAAGTTTAGTATCATCCGACGATGAACGGATATCTATGTCACAGCTATTTCAAATTTACAGTTGAACACGATCGATTATATAAAAGTTTCATCGATGTTCTTAACACGAAATCACCGACTGCCAATTAATTACACCTTACGAAAATTAAATGAACACAAACAACATCGACTACTAACGAAAAATGTAAACGACTATATTATAGATCACGACTTGTCAATTCTTCACGAAAGGATGGATCAATGGTGGATCGATGAGAACAAGAGCAAGAAATTGATAGCGAGGTCAGAAACAACGCGTTCAATAAACGTACAATTAATAAATCGTCAAGTTATTACTCAACCGTGACACTGCGAACGAAAGAACCCATCGATTGCACGATACAAGTTAAATAATCGTTTAATTTCCCGTCTTTCTTTCTCTCCCTATCTCGCACCGAGCGTTTTTCACGTTCGATTGCTCGATACTCGGCGCTCGATGCGATTACGTCCGATTTCGCGTCGCTAGATAAAAGGACAGAAGCCGTCGATTAATCGATGAAATAATAAAGGATAGAAGGATAGAAGGATAGAAGAGTTTCGAACTATCGAAGAATCGACGCGAAATCCTGGTACGCGCCGATGTACCAGGCGCGTAAGAGAGTCGAACGATCGCGAGTACGCGTTGCTTGGCCGTCGCAGGCCTCGCAGGCGCAATTGTCGATTACCGCGCAACGAGACCGTTTGGAGGGTGGACAAGAAGGCAAATAGTCTCGGGCAGCTCGGGTCTAATCGCTTTATATATTCGAAACCGGTCAGGGCTGGCGAGAAAAGATACGCGCGGGCGACTTTCGCGATAGACCGGCATTTTTCGCGGACGCCAAATAATATAATGGCTTTCACTTCGCGCGAGCCGGAAAACTAGCCGGCCGTGATACGGCCCAGGAATCGCATCGTAAGCAACTCGGCTTAATTAGCTTCGTGATTTAATTAACGCGGCGTTCGCCCCACCGACGCGTTAGATTAAGTCATCCTCAACTTCAGTTTTCCCAGGGTCGTCTTTCATTCTCCGTCTTCCTTTCTTCCATTTGTTTCGGTTCCTTCTCCCTCTCTTCGTTTACCATTGAATCGATGACGAAACGTATCGAGCCTTATACACGCTCATCGTCGCGTTTATCCAAACGCCGAACATACGATTCCTCCTTTACCATCGAGCTACCGTCTCGCGATTGCATAATCCCGTGAAACACGAACACAATGTTATCCGCGTAAACGTATCGCGGTGATGGACGAAGAAACGGATCTGGTCTTCTCTTTGTTCGGTAACCGTGGAAATAGGAAAAACGCGGTTCAAGATCTGGACGGGAGTTGCTGCGTCTCCTCAGAATCGAATGAAGAACACGCGTTCCTGATAAGGAGCCGCTTTTACCCGCGGAATTTCACTCGGTAATTAATCGAACGCCCATGTTTCTGCTTTCGAAAAACCAGTCCACGTTTCGCCGTTGCGTGAAATTTGTGGTTTTATTTGTCCTTTGTGCCAGCGTTCATTACGGATGGTGTTTCATGGAATACAGGGACACGGACACCCGAACTTGCACGTAAAAATCAAATTGCGATTTTAACTAATCGATTAAAGAGTAAACAGGATCACATCAATTACGAACCAAGTATTTCTGGGAGAAATTAATTCTGGGAGGATGGTCCGGTGAAATCGCGACGATTTAACTTCAATTGTATCGTCCGACTTTTCCTCGAATAAATCATTACGAATAATATCGAAACAATATAAGAGTCGACACGCGTAAAGTACAGGATGTCGTTTTAAACTAGTTAAATCTACGAAAAGTTAATAAACGAAAATATCGATAAATCGATGTTCTTTGATGTACCCTATTAAAAATTCGTTTCGATAATTTGTGATTTACATTGTCCAGAAGTAATCGGTATTTTCGAAAATAACGACTAGAACGAGTGGATCGAGGTAATAACTAGCGAACGACGGCACGGTGCAGCACGGCGGTAGCCAATCTATTTAGAAAAGAATTCAGGTTTCTTAAGGCCATTGAAAGACCTGTAATTCCAACTCTTTAGTGCGTTGCCCGCTAACGCGAAACTCCTTTTCGATGCGAGGTCCCCCGTTTCCACGTAACGAGCGGGCCATAATCTGGATCGCGAGTGTCACCATTCTTGGATCTACTACTTTTCCTCTCTTCTTTCTTTCTTTCCACTCTCGGTCGATCGAATACCTCGTTTTAACTTAGCAGGAACAAAAAATATTCCTGACCATTTTCATCCGGATCGGCGGTCCATCGCTCTTTGTACGATCCTGATCATTTTCGTGCAGCTAATGCCACGCTTTTACCGGCGAGCGAGAGATCGTGAGAAATTGCACGCGTTTCAGGGCTAAATCCGTGTCGACTTTTGCAATCGAAACTTCCTGCGAGCTATGCTAACGACGGTGTATGCCGCACCGCGTTTCAGAACGCGTTGTTGCCGTAAGTTGCGGATGCGAGGATGAAAAAATCCAACTATCATCCGATGTATACGCTTTTCAAAGTACCAGTCAATTTTAACGAGTCTGAAATGTTTGCATCAGCGGAATCGGTGGACATAGTTAGCATAGCCTCGGAGCATCGTCGGTCGTCGGTCGTCGGTACCCTAACGCGATCGAATATTCGAAGACAAGAAATATTAGCGGGCATGGACGATTAACTTCGTCGATCGATCGATCGAGAGAAGGGACGCGTGACATCTCTCGAACGTCTTAGGTTCCAACTAAGGAAACTAGATGTCTCGCGAGACGTATCGTTTCTCGCTGATGGTCTATCGATCGAAATGGACTGTCGTAACCGAATCGATGAGTCCGACGACAGGAGACCTCGAAACGAAATGTTTTCTCTCCTCCCTCGTTCGTATGCAAAATTATCGCGTAGTCCAATTCGGAAGAAAAATTTAAGAAAAACATGCGTTTCGAAGCGAACCTAATGTACTAAGGATTCGCTAAAAAATATATAGGATCGAAGAGCTGTACTCGAAAGAGTCGAACGATTACTCGGTCGATAATCGTTCGAGTACAGGAACAGACACGGAACGGTAAGACAGGTTTCGCGAGCTTTTAACGAGAGATCCGTATAAAGCTCGAAACGAATACGACGAATAATTTAGCTGGAAATATCCGGTAAATTTCAGCGTACTCGCTAAACCGTCGTCCGAAGCACGGTTGCACGAGAGAGTCGACTATCGTAGGTGACCAGGTAACCCGGGTGGTACCTGGTTGCACTTGGTGTGGCCTGCCGTGTAGATGCCGATCGTGTAGGCCAAGATGGTGGGGCGGGTGGAGTAGGAGGCTGTTCTCCGTGGTATACCCGCTAACAGAACCTACAACGGCAACCTCTATATCGGCCGTGTAAAGCGGGGTCCCCTCTTCGTCCCCTAATGCAGCTGGTGGGACTACCTCGGTCCGTGCTAGCCGCTGCTACGACGTGGATTATAGTTTTTCTGGAGGGAGGGTGGTGGAGCGCCTTGCTTTCGAAAGGATGGTGATTGTGGAGCGTAGCCAGAGTAGAGTTAGGCGTATATAAGGCCCGCCGGCCCGGCCCAAGTCAGTCATTCACCGGACTACCAGCCCACCATACACACACCAAACATGAAGGCCTTTGTGAGTATCCACCACGGGGTTGGTGATTTTCGTGGGGTGTTCGAATTATTCGGGTTTTTCGCGTCGTCCACGGTTCTCGATTACCAATTTTCATCTCGGGATCTTGCCTTCCCGTTCGCACCGATCCGTTTTGCTCTCGACGCTCGAACAACTCGTTCCCTCGTTCGAGACATTTTTTCGACTCGATCGTTCCTTTAACCGAAGAGCCGCGGAAACTTAAAAGCTCGTTGGTCAACTCGGTAATTCAATGTCACGGCTTGAACGGTCTGGTCCCGTTTATACTAACCGAACGAACCGATCCGACTTTGTCCTTCTTACGCGTTCCATTCATGCGGCAAGAAATCTCCGGTTGCACGGTACACTGACCGCGTCGCGAAACCGGTTGCGGTAGTATCATCGTCATTCAGTAACCAGCCAAACCCGTGACCGGTTCTATCGACCGGTGCATCTTCATTCACTAGCTCCGTTTTGCCGATCGTTCCGACGCGACGCGTCACTCGCCTGGAGGCTTGCCGCTTTTCCTCTCGATCTTTCTGCCAACCTGAAAACGGCACGAGTTATCAGCGTTCGTTTTCTACGACGTTGCTTTCGTTTTCTCCCGGTGATTCGATAAACGTATGCAAAGTGCAACGTCGGAATCGGTCGTTTTCCGATCGCTGGCTCGCGAGAACGCTCGGTCGGCCACGTCGCACGGGTTCGCTCGGGTTCCGCGTAAACGGGACGTGAAAGTTTCGCCGAGTCGTTAGACACACGCATGCATAACGGCAATGCGACGAGTTTTAAGTTCAAAACGCATAATCCTGTGTTTCGAGGACGCGTTGCCTCTTTTAGCAACGCCGTTACGGAATCGGATATCTTTCGCCCGTTTCACCGATTTTCTCTCGCCTAGCACGTAGCGTTCGATCGATTCGCGGTACAACGTAACCGGTCGTTTCCAATGATAGGAAGAAAAATCAGCCTGTTGAAATGTCACGATCGATTCGCGTTAACTACGCGTCGACCGATTTCCAGAACGAATCGTCGATTAATTGTGAATTCCTTGAATTCGATTAGGTTAATTCGCGAACTCAGGATTACGTAAAACGAGAAGCGAGCAAGCTTCTCTTTCCTGCCGGACATGGCATCCGTTAGCGAGACAATTCGAAGGTATTCGCTCGCCTAATATGGTCGTTAGGCGTGGCGAACGTCTCGATCGATCGCGAACGACGCTGAGATTTGGGGAGGAGAGATCGGAATAGTCGTAATCGGTTCTGCATCGGTCCGGTTGCGAAACGTTATGTCGCGGCGGTTCTAGCTACGATTTTCCCGAACGACACGCTGGGAATCGTTACGCCGTGCCGCGCCGCGGCAACGTTACGAAATTCCACGCTCGACTTCCAACCGTTTCTCGCGGACTTTGAGACTTACGCTACGTTTAGACTGGACTAGAGCTTTCTCCATTTTCGCGAAGTTAAAGGATCTTTCGGTCTGAATCCGATTTGACTCGACGCGACAATTGCGAGAATCGAAAACGATTCGATTTACCGATTTACCGATTTACCAATATCAAATTTTCGATATTAATTATCGACGAGATTTACTCTGATCGTCACTTAAATAAAACGTTGGCGATCGGAACGATTTTCTAGTTGCCGTTTCCTCGATTCGCGGCGAAACGCGGCGAAACGCGGTCGAGTATCGGAAAGTGAAAGCCACCGGTTATGTTAGACGGGACTCGAGTTCGTAATCGGTGGCCAACCCGAGCTCGCGGTTATAGTCGTTGCTTCCGCGACGAGAGTTTTTCTTTCGCGGCGTTCGATCGATTAGCGATCGATTAGGGGTCTATTAAGGATCGATTGGCGACAAAAGAGAAGAAGATGGGGTGTGACCGAGTGACCGATCTGGTTCGCAGATTGTGTTCGCCTGTCTGGCAGTGGCGACGGCCCGCGCCGGAATCGCTCACGGAGGTGGCTACGCTATCGGTGGTCATGGTGGACTTGGTCTCGGAGGCGGCGTTGGTCTCGGCGGTGTTGGCCTGGCCGTAGGAGGAGGTGCTAGTCTCACCGGTGGACTCGCGGCAGGAGCTGGAGCCGCCAGATCTCTCCAAGACGGAGCGTCCAGCTTGGCTTCCCCGGCACTCGGTGCCA